TTAGTTTCTGAACGTCGGGAAAATCGTGGAGAGCAATCACATGCCAAGCTATTTCCCGACCGTCACCCTTTCAGTTCCGCTTGTTTTCAATGGATTTAGCTCTATGCGGCTGCTGGGACGAGGTACAACACCCCACGTGCCGCGGACACGCGGCGCATACGCCATCCGTGCAGCGCATGACGCGCCACACGCGGCCGTCGACACTCGGATTGGCAGCATTCAAATTATGCGCTCTGCCTCAGTGTTGAGTTTTTGCCGGCCCCTCTCCGAAGTTTACAGGCGCTGGGCAGGCTGTTTTCAGAAGGTGTGGCAGCGTGGTTTGACCCTCCGCTGAAGTGCCGAAGCGTGCGCCGGGCGAGGCCTGACGTCACCGGAATCGGGAACACCGAATTCTTCAGTTTGGCTATTCTCCATGGCCAAAGTACTTATTCCCATTTTTGTCATGCCTGAGGCACCAGTGATATCTTGCCACCGCCGTTGGCCTGTCGCCATGAAAATACGATAACGAATGTGATCAGGGGCCCATTCTTCATGCTGACCTCCAGGAGCGGAGCCAAAGAGAGCCTGTCTAGGCACAAGGCATCTACGATGTTCCACACACCTTGCAGGAAACTGGACAGCATGCGCAATAAGTGAGACGATTCTGATGCAGTTGTGAAACCAGGGGAGAAACCCCCAAACCCACCCCAGAACAGGAGCACCATTCATGCAACATCGCACGCGGTGGTTCCAAATAGTGGGCATGAGTCACGACTAATTAGATGAGATGAGTTACAGACTGTGTGCAGCTGGCTCCTCGGGCCTTGCAAACTTGCCCCGTAACACTTCATGACATCTTAAAACAGTCCCTTGTGACATGCCCAGCAGACTGAGTCGCTCGCTAGAATCGAGCATGCCACTTCACGCTCCGCATTCCAATGTGGCCGACGTGGTCAGCGTTCACTCGCACCTGATTGATATAATAGCATACGACAGGGAATGTTGTAGCGCTGTCGGATTCGCTAGCGATAGACGCCATTGATGGGGGTGGGGTGGGGGTAGGGGCAGAGAGACAGGCAGACACGGACAGACAGATACAGACAGACGCTCAGACAGACGGTATGACCGACGGCATGTCGAGACAATGACGCAGACACCGACAGATAGACAGACAGCCGGCATACTCGGCGGAGTATAGGCCGGACGAGTGGCAGTGGAGGGCGGCCACCCGACAGTGCCGCCAGCCGGCCCGGTCGCTTGGCGGGAGCGGCGGCCGACGCCGATACCGATCCCCATCGACCTGGCCTTTGTGTCCCGGCGCCGGCCGCGCCGCCGTTCCGTCCCGCCGCCACCTCCGCCGCTCGGCAAACAGCGTCCCAGCGCATGTAAATTATCGACCCCCGCGAAAGCCGGCCGGCACGTACCGGCGCCGCTGTGTGCTCAAATCGGCGGCACCGACCATGTTTGCTCTGCGGCACGTGGTTGTTGGCCGACGTAGCCCGCCGCAGACCTACCACGGGCCAGGGTCGGCGGGTCATGCGGCGCACGTGCCGCGGCTGGCGGCCTCTCGATCGGGCTCTCGGCGGGGATACGCCTGTCGCGGGGTGTGCTGTGAGCTTGGGGAGGTCAGTTCTCAAGTCCACGGAAGAAGAGTGGAAGGCTTGCACACTTCGGCGAGAGTTCGGAGGTCTGCTGTGCGGCTGTCGGTCTAAACGGCAGATCGCAGTGCGAGATTATACACGAAGCCGCTGAGAATCAGAGGCTGTCCGCTGCCTGGTATGGTGCTCAATTTCAAATTCCCATTGAAATATAGTTAAGGTGCTGACAAGTAGAAAACAGTAACATGTCAATGCTTGCATCTTTGAGTAATCCTGGGGCTGTAACAATTTTGCTTTACTCATTCGTTTTCGAGAGGGACACGTTGGCATACTGCTTTTCAAGCTCCATAAAATGCTGCTATCAATTCCTCTGTTGCGTTCGTCCATCGAAGCACACTAAGCCCATGCCACGAGAAACGGTATTCGCTTCAGGGGTTAGAAATGATTAAATCTGAGCGAAGGACTGCGTATCCTTAAAATAGAGACAGCAACTTAAAACGGATGCTCTCATAGGTTAAACGGACGTGAAGCGTCCGAGCGAGGTTGTGAGTTAGCGTGCCCCGAACACCCGTGTTGTGGGAACGGTGCAGCGGTGTGGGCCGAGACAGCCGCATCGACCGGCTCAGAAGTAAGCCTGTCCGCCCCGGCCCTGCTGGCAGTGAAGGCCTGCTGGTGGCCGGGCCAAAACGGCCCGTTCTGTTTCCCGCTTCCTTTTTTTGTTTTGGATCAAGACAAGCATTGAAAATTCGTCACATTGGTACCGAAATTACAGTTTCATTTAGATGGAGGCAGCGTTAGCAGTTTTTACAACATTCGCTATTGCTGAAGTACAGAAAAACAAAATATGGATTTGAAAAAGAAGACTTCGAAACAGTCAGCATTTTATCAACTTGCGTTCAAAATTATGTCATACTGTAGTTTATCCATTCCACCATTTTTGGTCAGCATATATGCAAAAATTAAAAAACTCTGAAGCTGTTGAAACAAGAAACGGAAAACTGCTTCTACTAACCTATCATACGCACATCATTGGGTGATGTTATTGACTCATCTGTGCTGTGCTGCGAATATGTTTAACGGCAGGAAAGACTTCGCTAAAAACCCAGTATCATGAAATCAGTATACCTCCCTAAGATGATACAAAACATTGTGCTTTACGCATCCAGTGCAGAAGGGCGGTCCGTCCAAATGCACGGCGGACATTTCACTGCGCTTAGCAAATTTTCACGCTGACTGTAGTGGGGCATGGCAAACATTCACGCCGACTGTGGCGGGGGACGGCAAATATTCACGCTGACTTTAGCGGAGGATGGCAAACTTTCACGCTGACTACAGCGGGGGATGGCAAAATTCCACGCTGACTGTAGCGAGGGATGACAAACTTTCACGCCGACTGTGGCGGGGGATGGCAAACTTTCACGCCGACTGAAGCGAGGAACAACGAAACACCAGACCGGTGACCGGGCTCGAACCCACCACTCGGCACAATGTTGTTGGTGGGTTCGGCACAATTTGGGACTACCAGGCTGGTGCTGCTATCGTAGCTTTAAAGGGTAAAGGGATCCATTATAAAACTTACAAACTAAAGGCTCAACTCCCTTAGACTCAGCGGTTTGGCGAAAACACCTCTCTAGTTTGATGCGTAGTAAGCTTTAGCACAATCCCTTGCCTAACTTGCCTTGTTTGTTTTTGCCAGGGGCTTTCTGTTTTGGTTATAATAATTATTCAAAACTCTCGCCTTACATAAGACCTAGAAAAGGCGAGTGCGGCATAGCGAACTTGCACTATGGTAGTGCTTTAAAAGTCCATAGCGTTACGGCCGTAGACAAAACGAAAAATGGCAATATGTCAGCTGTTCGGAATGGTGATGATGAAAGGCTGCTCTATGAAAGCTGAGTGCTTTGTTTGCGCCAGGAAAATTACGCCTGCAAATTGTTCATCAGCTTCAATTCCTTTCACGTGGAACAGTACCAAAAGCCGATTTTTTACCCTAGGTCATGAACGCGGATTTGTCGGATTATATAAGCTTTTATCTAGTGCCTGCCCAGTCGTCGACGCCATAAAAAAGCATCGGGTCAAATATCGTGCATCGCACATCGGTATTGCCCGCTGAAGAAGTGTAAAAACACGCTTTTGGCCTGGGTCGCTACGCTTGGTGCGCATGTCGGAAAAGCGCAAACACCGACATACGTTTTTTTTTTGTCATGCCGTTGCGCTATACAATCTTGAATTAAGGAACAAGCGCATGAGTGGATGTACAGCTTCGCGCTGGTAATGTCGAAGAAAGGTCGTCGCTGCAGACCAATGGCCATACTCATTCAGTTGTTTCGCACATTTCTTTTACTGCACAAAGTGTATATGATGGATACCTTTATTCTGTTGTCAGTGATGGGATGCTAATGGCACGTACGCGCTCTGTGATAACCCGACAGGAAATGGACACGACTTTCTAGCATGCACATTTAACAGAAAATAGCGGTGGTTCTCTTCGAGCGAAAGGGCTATTGAACAACATCGTTGAAAAAGTTAAGCCGGAAATGTAGCGTATAGTAAATATACAAGTATATCATAAGTCGGAAACGGAACATACTGGCTTGAAAGGCTGGATGGCTGAACCTATTACACTGAAAAATGTCAAGCAGCGTGCTATGCTTTTCTTCCCTGGAAATGCAGATCTTTTATACGCAACAAGCATTTCCACTTCGAAACGGCACGATAATGGCGATTGAAGGCTTCTACAGGGGCGGAGTATCAATAGACCTATCTAGACGATGACGAGACAGTGGCAAATGTCTCATGTTTCTTAGTTTTGGTGTCACACGCAATCAGCGATGTTGCAAGCAAGAAACCTATGGAAAATTCAGGTAACGAGACAGAAAGGAAGAAAGGCGATGAACGCAGGCAAGCAAGAGTTGACCGACCGCAAATGTATTCACTTGTTTTCCTCTTTCGGTAGGCTCGCTTTGAAAGGCCGGTTCAAAAGCTGTCGAAAGCTTTTGGAATCCCGAATGCGCACAATACACGGCCACAAAGTGGTGTGTGTGTGTGTTTGTTTGTGTTTGTGCTGTGACGGCGACGAGCGATAGTTGCATTGAAATCGACAATCACTCAGTAGGATCACAACCGCGATCTGCTCACGTAAGCCAGTGCAGCGTCCAGTTCATGTCCTGAGTTATAAGCTTTCGGAACACCATTAAGTTCGCCGGAACTTTGTACCGCTTCTTCCGCTTATTGCACCCGCAGTATTTCAACCACCGTCCCACTTGCAGCGGACATGAGGGATCGGCAATAAGTTAGCAGTCAGCTGTTTAACTTTCCCCACTGGAGCTCTTCAGCTTCCACGCCGCGGTCCAGTCGGCACGTACGCCGGCAAGATTCATGTCGAAACTCGCACCGAACGCTAAGACAGCTTGGTGCGCTTACCTTTGGTGGGACTGGTGCTGAAGTGAGGGGCCACGGCGGTGAAGGCGCTGCGAGTCCGGTCCGCTTCTGGCCCCGACAGCAGGTCAACAGGTCGCCGACCTGGGGGACTGGACGGCGACGACATGGCGTCGAGGCGACACTGCGGCTGGCCCGGCCACGGCTCGCTCGCACTGCGCGCCACCGCTGGCCACCGCCGAGTCCAGTCCGAGCTTGCAAATCAGAGCGGCGCAGATCCCCACTTCTGGCCAGCTTTGGTTGGGATTCGACTTTGCCGCCGTTTCAGAATCACCTCGTGCCAAATCGCGAGCCCGCCACCACTTGAGCGGCAATCAATGATTTCAGCCAATCGCCGACGAGATTCGCCCGGATTGCCGTGATAGCTCGCGCGCTGATTGGTCGGCGTCGGCCAGAGGCCGTGACCGTCTTACCCAATCACATTGCGCACGTGCAGGCGAAGGTTGAGTGGGCAGAGGGAGCAGGCGGCCGGCGCCGGGCGGCCGACCGCAACATGTGGGCGGCGGACAGCCATGGGGAAGGCACGAGCCGTTTAAATCCCTAATGGCCGGCCATCTGCTGCGCACTCCTGCGCGGTTTAAATCCACCCCATGGACAATCTGTTCTTGGCGTTTGAATCAGACCGCTTGCAACCTGTCCAACTTCCTCAAATTCCGTTCTCCAAATGCTTCTCGATTTAAATGCCAAACGGACACGTGTCGTTTTGAAATCATGACCACCGTCTGCTGCACTCCGACCGTGGCGCCCCTGACGGCCGGCGTCCGTCGTGCGCCGATCGGTGGCGGCCGCTGCGTATTGGCGCAACCCCCTCCCCCTCCGGCGGCGAGGACGCTTTCATAGCACCAATAATGGCTTAATTGAGATGAGGTTTAATGAGGGAGAGGGTCGGGAAGCGGGAGGGCTGTAATGGTTCGGGCACGTGCATCAGGTAGGCGGCGTCCGCTCTGCCAGGGCTGATCGACTGGGCCAGCGCCGAGCCGGTAAAACGGGACTTGGGGCCGCCCCGGACCGCCGGAGCATTCTGCACTGCCGGCCCGCAGCACCTGGGCTCCGAGCTCGTTCCAAGTTCACAGAATTCGGGTGTTTGTCACTCTAGCTTTGCCAGCAAGGTAGATTTGTACAAATTATTGGTCGCCGAGTCAAGGCCTCATACCCTAGTCTTTCCCCAAACGTATGTTTCTCAATGAATTTGAGCGTCTTTATTTTGATGGGCAACAATTTCATTTTCGTATCGGTGTATCTTCCACCAAACAGTCATGCATTCCAGGAGCCTAGTAATATTTGTTATTAAGTGATGCCAAAGAGGGCAAACCTTCTATGATATTTCACTTCTTTCTTATTTTCTGTAACATTCCGGAAAAAGCATTGGAGAGGTCCACACCAAAATCGGGGAATCAAGTCAACACTGGGGGGGGGGGGGGAGGGGGACTTTTGAAAGGATGCAAATTGATACCCGTAGTCTTTGGCTTTGCCGATTCAGCCAAGGAGAGGTCAGAAGTCAGGCCTCGCGACATTTACAGCCGCAACTAAATTTGGTAAATGTAGGCGGTATGGCGACATTCCTCTCCCGACCACCAAATGCGAGATAGTCATTTGCAATATCTGCCCGAGATTATCAAACAAATTTTCTCAATTATTTACAAATTCTGGTGCATATGCTTTGATATTTCAACTTGAGAATTCGGTCTAAATATTTTCATCTACCGCCCAGTCCAAGAGAGGCTAGTTGTCCGAATGCTGCTAAATGATCAACCAACTACGAATGACTCGGCGCTGTCGCATCTGCTAAAATGCTAAAGCGCTTTTTAAAACCCAGCGAAATAACGCATTGCATTTTGGCGCACAGTATACAAATACATCAATCCATAATTATCACTGAAATAACTAAATATGTACATAACATATAGCCCAGATGTTTGATCACATCACATTTAATTTCGAACACTGACGTACATATATTGTAGCACGGTAACAATAGTCATGCCAGGTCTGCTCACAAGCTTAATTCCAGAATTGACTTAAAAGGATCATTAATATGTGCTAGCAGAACGAAGGCGTGTGCGGTGATGATAGATGCTGACATGTCTACGCGGACGGCAATGATAGGGTCCAAACACGCACGCATTGGTTGTAATTATGTCATATATAACTTGCACGAACTTTGAGACATATGATAGTTTCGGTTGTCGGATGCAGGTCAGCGGTGTAGCTTCGCAAAGTTGTTGGGGAGGAGGACACAAAAATTGCTAAAATGACCCTCAAAATACGCCAGACGTGTAAAGAACGTGTTTCTCCCCGAATTTTGACCACTTTTCAAATCGACGGCCTGGAGCCCCCGACTGAATAGGATACCACATCCTGGCGCAAACCAGTAGCAAATATGACGCGTAAAAGTATTAAGAGAAGCATAAGGTCCATTTAAACCTGGCAAAAAAGTAGCAAGGGGAAGCAAAATAGTCATGACGGCAGCTGGTAGCAACGTTTGTATACCCAAACAGCCATCTTAGGGTAAATCGTACGTGGTTCATTTAACATCACCACATACAAAACTAGTTGCGACTAGAAACATCGAACATGCCATGAACATACTGTTGAGTATTGGTTTTGCTCATTAGCCAGAGCCACAAGGAAGAGCAGGCCCTATTTTAACATGACGATGGTATGAGGGAAATTCGCGTCAGTGACAGCAGAATCCCCCTTGCCAAGTAACGTATCAACGAAATCTCCATAATTGAAAAAGTTACGTTGTCACCAGCACCCGCTCGATCATGTCTTCGACACGCTTCAGACAGACACTGAAAGCACCATGTATCTGGGGCGAAGCGGATGTTTGTAAGCAAAAAGGGAGAAAAGAGAACGAACGACCAGCGCACAGCTGTTTTGTAAAAATATCAGATACGTTTCAGAATTCAGCCAACTGGATTTTTATTGGCGTAGATGAAGGCGAAAATTGAGGCAAGGATAATCAAATTTGAGTCTTCGTGCCCGTGACGGTTTTGTTGAACTCACTTCTGACGGGATCAGTTTCATGAACCGTTGCGATTACAAGCGCAGTCAAACGGACGAATAAAATGGAGTGATGCTGTTTGCCGGAATCAAGTAAAGGGAGGCGTTCAAGTACTGACACGCTTGAGAGAGAGCTCTGGCCCGTTCAAAAGCTTCCTGTTCGTGCTGCGATCGGGGGCGCGGGAACTGAGAGCATCCTGGAGGTGGGGGAGGACAGGGGCAGGGGGGAGGGGGGGGGGGGGGGTTGAGCCGTGACTTCCTGAATATTAAGCCTGATTATGATTGCAATAGTACACCATGCAGCGAGGCGTAATCTATTGAACAGAGGTCAGCCATGTGTGTGGCACGTGGATAGTGAAGTCGTGACCCACGTGTCAACAAAGATTAAAAGTTGCCATTCTGGGCTGCTAGCGAGCTAAAAACTACCTTTGCCACCTTTTAGTCAGTAGCTGGCATTGGTAGCACGTGAGATACAACGTTCCCATGTTTGGTTTCTAATCGAAACATAGCTATTGTTGTTAAGGAACTGGTTTTGTGTAATATCCTAACCTCAACTCAGCTTCAAACCAAATAAGCAATGACCCGAACTGGGATTCGAAATTGCTGCTGAAACCGTGGATTCGCATCCGGAAGGATTCATCACGACGTCATGACCCAAGCTCGGACCCGCACTCAGCTTCTCTGACCCAGCCCCCGTCGTGCAGCACCGAGGCTTGAGCCGATGCTGCGCATTGGAGGGCTGCGCGAGGGAGGGGAGGATGTCCCTGCTGCACCCATCCTGTCACGCCCCCTCTCTTCCCCGCTGGCACAGCCCCCCGCGAGCGTGCACGACCAGCACCACGTCACGGCGTCAAAGGCGGCCACAGTTGCGCGTCGGCGCTGCCTCTGAATATGTATCTATCATGCCGGCGTACAATCCGGCGTAACTGGCGTTGTTGGCCGCCACAATGCGGCTGACTTCTGTTTGCCATTAATCAGACACGTGAATGGCGCCGGTCGGTGAGAGCCAGCCAGCTGTTAACGATTCGGCCAGGTAGAATTTCATTGTTGCAATTATTTCCGTGAGCGTGGCGTAAGGAGCGGGGCGCGCCACCAGTGTGGGAGATTCCCGCATAGACAGGCCAACTCTTTGTTGGCACAAGGGTGGCCGGTAAATCATTGGCGAGCCGTGGGCGTGCGGCCCGGCTGCGGACGCGCCAGCGCCAATCAATTGACGCGTAATGGCGCACCGCTTCACCCCTGGTAGCGGTGACGCTCCATGGGCCCGACCGCCCTCGAGCCGACACAAAGCCGCTACAGCTCGCTACGCGCCTTTGACGGGTCATAAGAGGTCATAAGAGATCAGAAGGGGGGCAGAACAGGTGTAAAATCAGCAAAGCGATGTCAGCACAGGCTTAAAGAGATCACACGATGCCGACGAAAGTCATGCGGTGAGAGATTGGGGAAGACAAAATGCACCAGAACACGTCAGGTCAGAGGCAGTAATGGGTCCAGGACTTCGTCAAAGGGGGAGTACGCAACATTATGGCCTCCTGGAGTTAAAATCTTCTCAAATTCTTATTAGTGTTATTCGCTATGCGGGAACCCATATTCCTTTGCGCGGCCATAGAAAATTAGGCGTGCCACGTATGTACATGTATGGAGCTTGTTCACTTCCTTCAATTCATGAGACATTCTGACATGTTGAGGCTAAGTAGCTCGAAGAATATATGGCGAAACGAGCTAATTTTGGGTGCTAAATACCATCAATTCAAGCAAAACACTTGATTCCAAGGTCATTTACGGCTAGCTGGTCTCCGATGGTCGGTGTGATTAGTTGATGGCTGATGGCAAATACAGAGCTTTTGTTTCGACCGCAATGAACGAGCTCAAAATATCCCGAGGTTCAAAGGGTATTAATAACGTGGTACACAACAAGTGTCACAAAGTTAATAACCAAGGGAAATGAGATATACTACGCCGATGGCGTCTAAACATAGGTAGACATGGCTCTGTGCCGTCCGTGACCGGTGGCTTGTGAACAAAGGTGGGCACGGTTCGGAGCTCCGTTTAGTCCGTTGCGAAACGTACTACTTTTTTGATAAGAGAAACAGATTCGTCTTCCCTTAAAAGTTAACGGAACGGATACCTTTCATCACGTTTGTATGTTATGACTCCGCTATAATTTTATAGTCACAATACACCGACGAAGGGAAACCAAGATACTTGTTGGCATGGTTCATGCGTTTCACTT